ATTACCAGTGTAGAGTACGCTGCTGTCTATATCCTATTTATATATGCCTCAGGTATGATTAGATTAGGTGTAACGTCCACTCCCAGGTCTCTTTCTCGAATCGTCACAGGTAGGTAGCTTCCCTTCATTGTGTATACTGTCCCTTTGATCTCCTGTCACCTAATCCTATTTCCATAACTTTATATTTGCTCGTGTTGAACTCCGTTAGCCATCATCCTCTGTAGCCTCTGACCATCTCTGCAACCTGTTCAAGTCCTCTTGAAGGATCCTACAATCCTCATCTGTCACAACTCTTCTCATTAATTTTGCGTCATCCGCGAACATCGACATATAGGACTCTACTCCTGTAGACATGTAATTTACATATATTAGAAATAGAATTGGTTCCAGCCCCGATCTTTGAGGTACCTTACTCGTTACTGTTCGCCAGTCCGACTTCTCGCCCCTGACCGTTACTCTTTGGCTCCTTCCTGTTAGGTTGTTCCTTACCCATGCTAGGGCTTTTCCGCTTACTTCCGCCTGTCTCTCAAGTTTGAATAGTTGATCGCACTATCATTCTCATAATTTCTTCCCGATACTCTTCGTATGTTAATGTAATCATTCCTATCTCTGTTGCATCTGATCCTGTTGTCCTCTGTCCTTTGTCTTCCGTACTTCCTCCACTCCCTCCTGCTTCAGATTTTTGCTTCCTGACACTGTCTGTTAAACCATGGGTTATTATATTCCCTCCTACTTTTTTCCTTTACTGTTGGTATAAATCTCTCTCCGACCTCCTTGCATTTCCGTATGACTAAGTTCATCATATCTTGGACTGTTTTTCCTCTAAATTCTTCTTCTCGCTGCACTTCTCCCAGATAGTAGGGAGAAGTGTTTTATCCTTCTGTAGTCCCCTTTCCTGTAGTCAACTCTCCTTTCCCAGACCTCTTGTCCTTTGCTTACAATATAAAGTTCCATCATGTAGTCAGAGACCAGGTCTCAATGGTCACTGGCCCCTAGAGGTATTTCATGTTCCAAATTCTCGATGTCTTCTACATTCTGGGTGAAAATCAGGTCTCATAAGCTCGGCGTATCCCTTCTTTCCCCTCGTGTCTTTCTTTACATGTTGTGTTAGGAAATTGCTATCTATAACGTCTACTAACTTTGCTCCCCACGTTTCCTCCCCGCCATGGGGATTCCTTGAGTCCCAATTTATCTCTCTATGATTTAGGTCCCCCTTGACCAGCAGTTTCACTGTCATTCTGTGAGTTAATGTTGCTGCCTTCTGCAGTGCATCTATACATGCCTTGTTGTTGTCATACTCCTGCCTGGGCGCGCACGTGTGTGTGTGTGTGTGTGTGTGTGTGTGTGTGTGTGTGTGTGTGTGTGTGTGTGTGTGTGTGTGTGTGTGTGTGTTCCCCTAATTGTATTCACCTAGTTGTGCTTGCGGGGGTTGAGCTCTGCTCTTTCGGCCCGCCTCTCAACTGTTAGGATTGACTAACTACTAACTATTTTTTTTTCTCCACTCACACACACACACACACACACACACACACACACACACACACACACACACACACACACACACACACACACACACACACACACACAAACACACAGGAAGCAGCCCGTAACAACTGTCTAACTCCCAGGTACCTATTTACTGCTAGATAACAGGGACATTTGGGTGAAAGAAACTGCCCATTTGTCTCTGCCGGCGCCGGGAATCGAACCCGGGCCATAGGATTACGAGTCCCGCGCGCTGTCTACTCAGCTACCCGATCCCCCCTCCCAACTATGTGTGTGTCGCTCGCTCTCCTCTGATTGATAAAGATTAAGCCACCCAAGAGGTGGCACGGGCATGAATAGCCCGTAAGCTCTCCTCTCTTTCCATTCCCTTTTTATATTTCTTCCTTTTCCCAAATCTTTCTCTTCCATATACGCAGGGAGGCAGAGGGACAAGCCCCCCCACCTTTTCCCCCGATACAATGACTTCCATTTGAGGCAGATATGAGACTCCCCGCGCGGTGGTGCGTGGCGGGGGGCTCCGCTCCCCGCCCCCTACAATATGTCTACCCCATATTTACTTTCAGTTTATTATGATTTGCTTGTCAAATGTCCCCCCCCCCCTCCCGACACCCATTTTTTGGGAGTAAAGAGGAAGGAGAGGCATAGGTGAAGGGAAGTATAGAAGTGGGA